TTTTTTTAATTTGTGGTTGTATATCAATATTCACCTTGCCGTTACTAGTTAGCTTACACTAATTAGTAATTAGAAGAATTTTATGTCTTTCGATTCACTATTTTTTACACGTTTAAGTTTTAGAGCAAAACTTTTATGCACTTCACTGAGTTATATTGCATGTTTTATATAGCAGGTTACTTTGAGATTAGATGACTCCTTATTGATTTTGGATTCAAATACATGTAGGGATGGTTTGCTTTTATGTTCATAATTTTATAACAAAATGACCTATTCGAGCAATGGAATGATGAGGCAATATTTAACGATGAAGTATGGAAAAGTCAAGAAAGTGAAGAAAAAATACATGGAACACAATGGAAAAATCAATAGAAAAATACGAGTTTACGAGGTGATATTATAATAAATTTTATGCTATTACATATCATTTGTACATTCAGCACTTGTTAAAGGCACAACTGCACAAGGACAAATTGGTAATTTAACATGATTCAGAATTTCAGACAATACATTCAGCACCATAGTAAAGAGCTCGTTATACTAGTGTCACTTATTCCACACAGACGTCTTAACATAAACAGGCATTATAATCGACTTAATGGGAAAAAAAGTAAACAACCTCTTAGTCATGCTGGATTAAGCATGAGACTTTTGTTTGTCTTTTTCCGAATAAAATCAAAGAAAAGGAAAGGGTTGGTCGCTACGTAATCAAGGATTATATTCATCTGTATTTGGTCCAATTTGGACAGACAATTAAGTTAAGCTTTTGTCCCTTTTTGACATGTTGGTATGCTCATTCATTCGGTGGTTGCCACCCAAATGACCCAATGTTCTGGAGTACTAGCCTAGCTACTAGGTAGAGCTACTTAATTACATACCTGATCAATGGCCGCATTTTGCCAATTAGTTACAGTAATTTATTTTTTATAAGCATATAACAACTTTTTTAACGGGTTTTATTTTGTATGCAGTCATAAGACTCATACTCCTAACCTAGATTTACATCGATTTTCTTTACCTTGTTGTTTAGCTTAATGATTTGAGAGAATTTGAATTTGCACCCCACTTTTTGAGAGATTGGACTTTGCAACCCATTTTCAAAAAACTTTGACTTTGCACATCATTCCACTTAAAATCCATTGACTTTGCACCACAAGTCCACATTCATAAAAAATCCTCACAAATTGTTATGTGACATTTATCTCTTTTTGACATCGATATCATAGATCGATTCATGTTAGCCGACCCTAAATTCTTTTGGGATTAAGGCTTGGATGTTGTAGTAAAATAGGATGCAAAGTCCGATATCACCCAAAAAATGTGATGCAAAGTCAAATTCTTCTCAATGATTTTTGCTCACATTCTGCGTACCCCTTTTTGAGGGAAAACAAAAGTATAATTTACATCAAACTCACGTTTCACTACTAGTCTACTATGATGATTAAAGTGATACTTACATACTCCGTAATATGCTAAATTGCTAACGCACTATCTATAACCCAATAGAGATTGGACAGTATTGTAAACCCCACAAATGACCATAAATAACTATACTTGAATACTACGTACAACTTTAGCTGCGCTAACAGCCGTAACAGGCTTACAGGCATACTTATTAACGCATGAGTACTATCCGGAAGATCCATAGCAACTTTTGATGAGCGGCTGCCGCACACCTACACTCTATTAACAGCTTTAAATAGCTCTACCCGCTATTTTTACTTATTCCATAAAGTATTTCATTATTGTAGTAATGCAGTACTGAATACGATAGTATAGAAATAGCGCAAAACTAGGGGAGGGATGAAAAACAGAAGAAGAAAAAAAAACATGAAAATTAAGAAGCATGTGCCTTGCCCTGCCCTTCATCTTCTCATTTGACATTTGTTCAATTTTTAAGAAAGTACTTTCTCATTAATGAAAATTATGTATTAACTTTACCCCATTATCATTATAAGTATAATTATATATGTCATTGTTATTAAACCTATGAAGTGTAAATTAAATGACTTTGATTGTTTGAAATAAACAATTTATCACAGAGTAAACACAAATTTAGTAAATAAGAAAAATAATGGACGGAGGGAATAATTGATATGGAAAATCACATAACCTTTCTCTAAAAAGAATAATTAAGAGAATGGACGTATATCTTTTATTTCCTCTATCCTACTATCTGTCATATTTTTCATTTTTCCAGCAAACTAAGAGAATGGACGTATAACTTCAATGACAACTACATAATTTTACTGCTCTGAGTATATCTAAATGTATGCACTATTTTCTCATGCCCCAAAGGAAACATTGTAGTAACACTCGTGTAAATATCAAAATATGAATACGGCGTGACAATTTGACTCATTTCAGTCCCAAACCAAACTAGACTTAAATTGATTGGACTTTGACAATAGTAAAATACACATAAAACAAACATCTGTCAGACCAAATCAGGCTTAAGTAAACCAAAAAATTCAATACAATTAAAAGAATACTTCAACAAGTAATAATACACTTTCATGAACAATATAGGAGTTAGATCCAAAAGGAGCTTAGAGATTAAAAATAATACTCTTGTTCTGTTTTTTCAACAAACAAGTTCCACCCATACATTGATGCAATATGCGTATATTTGTTGCCTTGTTGGTAAGATTCGAATCCAAATAGAAGTAGGAACGCTAATCCTTTTTACTGAATTGATAAGCAATATAGTATTAACCATTTACGAATACACAACAATGCGAATGAAGTTTAACATTTATTCCCGTAAAAGTGGCAAGCCCTTTAGCATTTCGCCAATTGATTTAACAAACATAAAAGAGAGACAACTGTGAACTCACACCGTATTCAACACTCCAGAGAAAGCATGAAAACATTGGCCATGTTATGAATTTGGAATCAAACACCAAACATTTTTCAATTTGAACCAAGACATACAAGCACATCCTATGACAAATGATGGAAGTGATCAATACCATAGAACCAACCCGGGCAAGCAAACTGATGACATCGTGCTTCACGCAGTAGACCGTATTAGTATTACTATACTACTACTATTACAGTTATTATATTATCACTATCACTGTTGTTGCTGTTGCTGTTGTTGTTATTATTAAAAAATAGTTGTCCAAAATGCTATGAGCTAACCACTCAATTAATGTCTTGAAATAATTGATTTGTAGAATTTACAGCACATGGTTGTGATTGGAAAACCTCACCCCCCCCCCCCCCCAATTCCCCAAACTCTAAGAAAGTTAAAAGCAAAGCTTTATGTACAAAGGCTCAGAATCTTCTTCCGTAACTTCAACTTCAACTTTGATTATTCTTTCTTTTAACATAAACAAATTAAATGGTTCCATCTGCTTATTTTTTTACTCTCCTATGCAGAATGAAAACTGACCTGCCCAGATGCTACCTGTCCATACTCAGCATACGCCTCCGGAGTTTCTTCTTCGCTAGGTGGAACCAGCTGCCAAAACAGCGGAAAATATTTATCCCACTCCTTCAGAACTGCAGATCCTTTGCTGCTCCCAGTTTTTTCCTACACAAAAAAGGAAAGAAGAATATGATGTGCTAGGGATTATATGAGAATATCAAAGGTATACCAAAATAAACTTTCCTTATGGTCATTTGGGGAATTCGATTTGGAGATTTTGGAGGACTTGACAACTAACGTATATATTTTTTTCTAAAAACTAATAAAATGTGAAGATTAATATTTAATATCATCACATATGTTAAATCTTTAAATCTCTTATGGAATCTCGCTTGGAACCCTAACCCCAGTTGTATTGGAGTCAACCCACTTCTGTATAGTTAGCCCTAGTTGTAGCAATAAATATAGCCCTTGTGTAGTCCCTTTGAATCGATCAATAAGAATGAGTCTTATATTTCACATGGTACCAGAGCATTTATTTAACCTTCATCTGATATGCATATTCCTTTTCTAAAACCACTCATGAAGCACTGTCACATTCAGAGTGGCGTTACATCATGTTGACTAAGATGGATGCTCTACATTCTAGGGGACGTGGGAATTAGTTCCCTTTTCTCCTGGAAAATCTATTTTAGGAGGATATATAACTTTAAGGTCGACCTTAAAGGAACAATTGATCGTCTTAAAGCGTGTCTGCTAGCAAAAGGGGTTCACGCAGATTTATGGATTGGACAATAGTGATACATATTCTCTTGTGGTCAAAATTACATAATTTTGCTTACTATTGTCTATGTCAACCTGAATTAATATAAAAAATGTTTTTCTACACAATGATCTTGATAATGAAGTTATATGGAGCAACCATCATTTTTGTTGCTCGGGGGAGTCTGGTCTTTTGTGCATATTACGTCGTTCCTTATATGGTTTGAAGCAATCTCCATGTGTGATTCAGTGATGTCATTTGCAGTGATCTGAAGTGATGTGGATCATTCCGTTTTCTATGGAAATTTCACAGAAAACAGGTGCATTTATAAGGTTGTATATGTTGATGAACAGGAAATCACTCAGCTCAAGGAATCTCTAGCAAATTTCAAACAAAAGATCTGGGAAACCTAAAGTATTTCCTTGATATATGTTGGATATTCTTGAGGAAACAGGTATGTTGAAGTGTATACAAGTAGACACTAATATATTCAAATGTCAAATTCTTGCATGAACAAGGGGAGCTTTTACCTGCTCGAGATATAGAAGATTTATTGGAAAACCAAACTATCTCCCTATTACGAGACAGATATATCCTTCATTGTAAGTTACTTAGTCAACAAGCCATGTGATGGTGATGCAACTCCTTGAGTCTATTTAATTATTATAATTAGGCAGTTGGTTAAGTAGTCAGTCATGGGCAGTAGTAGGTTAGTGGCCAATATTGTAGGGAGCAGTTAAGTAGTGTCGTTATTGCACACACACACACACATAATATATATATATATATATATATATATATATATATATATATATATATATATATATATATATATATATATATATATCACAAATGATCAGGTCCGAACGTTCAGACCTGATCCTCCGTTCGAACACCGCCGTTCGGGATGGTTCCCGGTTGATTTTTTTTATGAAATTTTTATGGTATGTTCTTCATCAAGTCTAGTTTATCCACGAAAAATTTCAGCTCAAAATTCGATCGGGAAGGTCTTCGATTTTTTGAAGTTGACTGCGTTTTTCTATGTATAATTTGGCGCAGTCAACTTCAAAAAATCATTTGAAGGCCTTCCCGATCGAACTTTGAGCTGAAATTTGGTATGGATAAACTAGACTTGATGAAGAACATACCATAAAAATTTCATCAAAAAATTCCACCGGGAACCGCCCCGAACGGCGTTGTTCGGACGGTGCCTCCTGTCCGAACGTTCGGACAGGATAAGTTCTCATATATAAATATATATATATATATATATATATATATATATATATATATATACACACACACACACATACATACATACACACATCCCTGCTGTAACCAAAGGAGATATGAATGAATATTATTTCCAGAGATTCTCTTGGCTTCTATACCTTTCTTGGGTGAGATTCTTACTTTGAGAGGGAATAGGAGAGTTAATTCTGAAATTCCTGTTTTAAGTCTGTTTGATAGCTTCTGGGATCTACCAATTTGGTATTAGAGCACACGTTCTGATCAATCATGGTGACCACACGTTCTTCCGCTGGCGACAACCCTGGAGACATCGACCCATTGGCGGCAATTGCAGACTTGCGGTTAAGCTAGACTTGTTGGATGAATAGCGAGAGAAGATTTCGGCGCTAGAGGTTCAGTCGCAGGAGCACAAAGGAAAGAAAAAAGAGGAACTGGGCCGACAACGTGGATGAAGAGGAGGAAATTCATAAACCTCGACCTCCATTTGCAAAGCTTGATTTTCCGAAATTCAGCGACGGCAACCCAAGAAGGTGGGTGCTAAAGGCTGAAAAGTTCTTCAAATACTATGCGATTTCGGAGGATGATCGAGTGGAAGTGGCTGCGATGCATTGATAGGCATGCGGGTGGTCAGCTTATTCAATATTTTGATAGAGTTTATCAAAGGAGGAATAAGGGGGGTAGTTAGTTAATTAAATAAAGCTGTTAACTAACAGAAAATGTCCCTGCGTGGACTATAGCTATAAATATAAGGTAAATAGCTTAATAAGGCAGGTTGTTATTCAGTTGATTGTAGACCTGGAGATTGGGCATCTCGAACAGTCCCTGGCTTTGTATACTGTTTTGAGTTCTTCCCTATCAATCTAATGTTTGTTCTGTTGTTTTCTAGATAACTTCTACAATTTCATCTAGATTACTACCAGTGTTCTATCATTGGTATCAGAGCAACTGTTCTGGTGATCAGAATTTGCCGTAGTATCACCAGAAATTTTTTCTCGTTCTGATTAGTGGATGGTGCGAACGAGAGCCAAAATGGAGAGCCTCAGGGAAGAAATGGAACGTAGCAGGATAACAACCGAAGAAACGTTGCTGCAGATGAAAGCGATGATGGAAAATATGACAGTAAGGATGGATGTGATGAGCGATGAAATTCACGAGAGAAGAAGATCGCGATCTCATCATCGTCATCATTCGTGTCGTTCAATCAGTCCAGCGGTATCAGTAGGTAATTCCGAACACTCAACTCCTGTTAATCATGTACGGAATGTTAATAACTCAAATGGTTCTGGTCATAGCTCTTTGGCCCTGCAAGGTAAAACCTCTACTATTTTTTGTCTTAATGCTTCATCTCAATGGATATTAGACTCAGGTGCCACATCTCATATGACTGCCATACCCTCTTTACTCTCTAATTATCATCCATGTTTTACATCCACACACATTACTACTGCTGATGGGACACCTACAAAGGTTGCGGGACTTGGTACGGTTGTTTTTTCTGAAAAATTAAATCTGAAAAACACCCTACATGTCCCAAACCTGGCTATGAACCTTGCTTCTATTTACAAACTCACAGTTGATCTTAATTGTGCTGCCATTTTTTCCCTTCCCACTGTTTATTATAGGATCTACACAAGGGGAGGACGATTGAAATTGCTAAACAAAGAGATGGCATGTACTACCTTGATGCATTGTTTGTCTTCAAACCTCCACAAAAAGCTCTTACCACAATCACAGTCAATACCAACACTATATGGCTTCACCACAAGCGCCTTGGTCATCCCTCTTTTCATGTCTTAAAAACCATGCTTCCTAGTCTTTTTAGTAGTATTGATGTTTCTACATTTCAATGTGATGTCTGTGAACTTGCTAAACAGTCTCATGTATCTATTTCTAGAAGTAATACAATCAGTTGTTCTCCTTTTGATATTATACATAGTGATGTTTGGGGCCCTACTCCAATTGCTAATATATCTGGTGCCCGGTGGTATGTTACATTTATTGATGATTGTACACGTTTTATGTGGGTTTTTCTGGTAAAAAACAAGAGTGAGGTGAGTTCCATCATTCCTATCTTTTGCAATATGATTCATAATCAGTTCTCCGCCACAATAAAACACTTCTGCACTGATAATGATCTTGAATACTTCAATCAAACAGTTTCCTCTTATTTCCTCTCAAAAGGCATTGTTCATGAGTCCGTCGGGCTTTATTGTTTCAATCAAATATGCCTAAACACTATTGGGGGGAAGCCACACTCACAGCATGTTATCTCATCAATAAAGTTCCCAGTCGGGTACTCCAAAATAAGTCACTCCTTGAATCTCTCTGTCACTTCTTTCCTCAAACCAGAATTTCTTCTGATCTTGATCTAAGGGTGTTTGGGTGTACTGCATTTGTTCATATTCCTCCACCTCATAGGGGAAAATTGGACCCACGATCTATTAAGTGTATATCTTTCTTGGTTATTCTCCAACTCAGAAAGGATATAAGTGTTATAATCCTACAACCAGAAAGACATACACCAGTGCAGATGTGACCTTTCACGAAGACACCTTTTTACACTCCTACTTCTCTCCCTGTGTCCCAAGATACTCCACATCTTTCACCTCTGCCCACCTATACTATTACATCTTCTCCACCACATACAATCTCCTACCCTTTAAGCCTTTATCACCAAACATCCCATCACCACCACCACCACCACATGATCATCCATCACCTTCCTTAGATGTGTCAGCAACCTCACCTACTTCCCAACAGTCTTCAACATCACCTGAACCTCAATCAAATCCACCACCAGACCATCTCATTCCTACCTACTAAATCCACCACTCATGACCCATCTTATCCTCTACCAGTGACAAAAGTGTACTCAAGGAAAAACAGGTTCACTCCATTGTTGACGCATGACCAATTGGCTGACCCAGGTAATGTCTCTTCTTCTCCACCACCATCTCCGCCAATTGCTTTACGCAAGGGTGAACGTCAATGTACCAAAACACCTCTACACCCTCTTGCTAATTTTGTTACCATTGATAACTTCTCTCCTTCACATGCCGTGTTTGTTCAGAGACTTAATGAAATTCCCATACCCAACTCTGTTTCCGAGGCATTAGGAAAGAAATAGCAAGAGGAAATTAGAGCTCTTGAAAAGAACCATACTTGGGATATTGTGACTAAACCTCCTGGGAGGCATGTTGTTGGTTGCAGGTGGATCTTTACTGTCAAATACAAGGCTGATGGATCTCTTGAGCGGTACAAAGCTCGTCTAGTGGCTAAAGGATACACTCAGACGTATGGGATTGACTATCAAGAGACCTTTGCTCCTGTAGCTAAGCTCAATACTGTCTGTATCCTACTATCCTTGGCATCTCACTTTGATTGGCCTTTATTGCAATTTGATGTCAAGAATGCTTTTCTCCACGGTGACTTGCATGATGAGATCTACATGTACATTCCCCCAGGCTTTAATAAAACATCAACAAGTACCTCTACACGTGTATGCCATTTTAAAAAAGCCCTTTATGATCTCAAGCAATCCCCTCGTGTTTGGTTTGACCGCTTTACACAGGTTGTTCTTGCTGCTGGGTATAGTCAAAGCCAAGGGGATCATACTCTTTTTTACAAACACTCTCGCCCAAATGGAGTCACTATTCTTTTAGTATATGTGGATGACATCATTGTGACGGGTAATGATCCAGTTGAGAAACAACGTCTTGAGGGGCAGCTGAAATCCAAATTCAAGATGAAGTCTCTTGGCCCTCTAAAATACTTTCTTGGAATTGAAGTTGCTCGCTCATCTGAAGGCATCTTTATCCGCCAACAAAAGTACATTACAGATTTGTTAAATGAGATTGGTAAGAGTGCTTGTCGACCGGTTAATGCACCTATGGATCCTAATCATAAGTTTGGGCTTGCTACTGATGAACCCAAGGTTGATTCATCAATGTATCAATGCTTGTGTGGCAAACTTATCTATCTCTCTCATACTAGACCTGACATTGCCTATGCAGTTAGTGTTTTGAGTTAGTTCATGCATGATCCAAGGAAACCACATCTAGAAGCAGCCTATAGGGTTCTTCACTACCTAAAAGGAAGTCCAGGGCAAGGGATAATCTGTCCAAGCCTTCACTGATGCAGATTATGGTGGCTCCCTCGTTGACCGCCGGTCAACTACTGGTCTCTGTGTTTTCCTAGCAGGAAACCTCGTGACATGGAGAAGCAAAAAACAGAATGTTGTGGCATGATCATCTGCTGAATCTGAGCTAAGAGCTCTTGCCCATGGCTTATGTGAACTTCTATGGGTCAGAATTATTCTCTTAGATTTACGAATCAAGTGGAAAGGACCGATGGAATTGAGGTGTGATAACAAATCAGCAATAAACATAACTCATAATCCAGTCCAACATGATCGAACCAAGCATATTGAGATTGATAGGCACTTTATCAAAGAAAAGGTTGAAGGAGGTCTGATCGAACTAAGCTACACTCCTTCAGAAGATCAAGTTGCAGATGTGTTTAGTGTTTACCAAACCTCTGCACAGTCCTAGGTTTCAGGGTCTTATTATCAAGCTAGGCATGACGGATATCTACAAACCTAGCTTGAGAGGGAGTGTTGATAAAACGAAGAGACATCATTAATCTAGGATTTATTTTCCTTATTATTACTGGAATTATGTGTCTTTAGTGCTTCAGGTTGTATTTAATAGTTGTTGTCTTTTCAGTTCTCAATCATTTATGTTTAGTATTTAGACAGTCACCTAGGGTACTGAATAGACTCTCTCAGGATTCCTATCTGTATAAATAGCTTCTGTATTTCTTGTAAATGAATTCATGGAAATAATATTCATAAAACTTCACTTATATTTCTGTGAATTTGTCACTCGGGGATCAACCCATCGCAGAGTTCCAGGAAATTCCATTGGACTTGCGTATGATTGAAGCTGAGCAGGTTGGATTTGATATAATGAAGAAAACAGCTGTTGACAAACTTCCTAATGACCTAGAAGGAATGGAGGCCTCAATGGAGAGAATGCTTGTTCTAATTAATGATGTTCACAAATATGTTTATGACGTTGTGGAAGGCCGTATTCCAACAGACAATAACCTTGGAAGGCTTTTGTATGAGACTGTAAACACCATTCCAAAACTATCACCACCGGAATTTGATAAGCTTGTGAATGATGGTCTTCAGGATCAATAACTCTTGCTATATCTGTCAAGCATCACCAGAACACAACTTAGCTTGGCTGAAAAGTTGAACACTGCTGCTCAGATCCTGTAGCTCTAAAGTCGACCTTTTGCAAGTCACACCAGTTGTTACACAGTTGGTTTCTTATGGGTCTGTTAGCCCACCAATGGCTGTTAGTTTTGAGATTATATAGTTTGATATTATTTTTTAGTTTTTCATGAAATTTCTTCCCTTGTTTTTGTAAACATTGGCTGCGATCAGCCCCCCAATTTTATTGTTGCTGCTTTTATGTCAATCTCTTCAAGGTCTTAGAATAGAATAAAATAAATCTGTAGCAAGCTTAGTCCATATGATTTATATGCTCCAAGCTTGAGGGGGTGTTGAAACCCTAACCCTGACTGTGTTGACCTCGGCCACTTTTGTATATTAGCCCTAGTTGTAGCTATACCCTAATTGTAACTATAAATATGGTCATTGTGTGATCCTTTGGATCAATCAATAAGAATGAATCTTATATTTCACAATCTCAAATAAACCCTAGTACCTTACCACATAAACCCTCACATGTACCACACCAAAATATAGATTAGCATCTCCATTGCCTTCCCCTTCAAATCCCCCCAGAAATCTTCACCCAAACAGACCCCTAGTGAATCTATTAACATATCCGCAAAAGTTTCAAGTGTTTTTACCACATGAGCCTTGATAAGGTTCTTTAGCAGCATCTGTCCTGCTGGACCCAATACTCTCTGAATCTTTACAATTTCCTTGTTTACCTATCAGAACATCACAGGCACCACCACACAATTACCAATATTAGAAAATAGAAATAAAAAATTCTATGGTATGTTAGGGTCACCGAAGGAAAAATTATGCCTTAATGTCAATGCAAGTTATTTTCAAGAAAATGCAAAGAAAAATATAATATTGTTAATTTTTTAAAAAGTTTTAATTCTATTTGAGTGTTAGATGACCCCAAATTCTTTTGGGACCAAGGCTTGGATGTTGTTATTGTATTTGTGTTTTATTTTATTTTTAGCATTGTATTTGAGTTTTATAATACAGAAAAAAGTAAATGAAATTAGTTTAAGAATAAAACAAATTTGTAGTTGAGCTTGAACCAATCTTTTATTCTGTCAAAATCTTCTTCTAATTGTTTTCTCCATTTTGTTTCGCTAGTATCTTCCTACTTTCAAACAGGCCCTTAGAATCTGTTTGGAACCCGGAAAATGCCAGAAAGAAAGGAAGAGGAACGTGGGGGGATAAAAGAGGTCCAACTAAATAAATCATTTTTAAACATTTTTTAAAGTCATTGTATGTATATAATTCGATTATGTAATTCCTAAGAAATCAAATGATACGTTAAATCTTAAAAGTTCTGCCAAAAGAAAATTTTAATTAACAAAAAAATTATAAACATTTTCCTTTAGCACTTTTTTCCTTAACCTGTTATTTTCATGTAATCAGTTAACAGAAACTGGTAGACAGAAAATTAGGGTGATAACAATATTTTCATGTACATAGAAGTGAATGTTGGCACAAACCTTGGGAATAAGCGTATCATCCTCATCGAGAATGTATGCTAGACCTCCTGTCATACCTGCTGCCACATTTCTACCCACCCTGACAATATAAAAACTTGAAAATATAACTCAAACTATGGTTGATAATATCCACACAAATATTTCCATGACAAGCCAAAGAGCACTTACTTTCCAAGCACAACAACACAGCCTCCGGTCATGTACTCGCAACAATGGTCCCCAGTGCCTTCCACGACTGCTTGAGCAAGAGAGTTTCTAACAGCAAAACGCTCCCCTGCTTTCCCCCTTACAAACATCTGCCCACCAGTTGCTCCATATAAGCATGTATTGCCTACTATAGTGGCATCCTCTGGATAAAACCCAGTATTTTCGACAGGAGTGACAACTAGTTCTCCTCCAGCCATACCCTATGATCAATGAAAGGCGTGATAGTCATAAATCATAATAACTTGATAAAAAAGGGCAGCCCGGTGCACGAAGGCATCCCCGCAAGGCGAGGATCTGGTCCCACCACAAGGGTGTATAAGGAACAAGTCTTCCCCTATCAAAATTTGACAAGAGGCCGCTCCCAAGACTTGAACCCGTGACCTCTCGGCCACACACCAACACCTTAACCTGTACACCACAGCTCCCCGTAACTCATAATAACTTGATAAGCTAAAAAAGTCTGTAAGGTAACTTTTTTTGAGGATCAATTAATTAAAAATTGCTCAGTATATGAGGACAAATTAGAGGTAGTAAGGACTGACGAACTGCTTCATTAAACCTTTACAGTAATTTCCATTTGAACTTGCATGCGAAAAGAATGATATGACATAGTGATAGTAATGACAATGCCTGTTATCAGCAGACTAACTCGGTAGGTTAAAAAATAGACACTATAAGCTTCGAGTTTAAGGCGTAAATATGTTCCAAACATGCACTAGTAACCAACCAACCTTTCCCACATAGTCATTAGCTTCTCCTACAAGACGGATTTTCATTCCAGGTGTCAAAAAGCAACCAAACGACTGCCCAGCACTCCCTGTGAATCTGCATGTGATGCAAGAAGTCTATAAGCTGCACAACTACATCCAATTTTTATTCCATCAAGAGTTTAGGGTCAGGTAACATGAATCAGCATATGGTATCGCAGTTAAAACAATAAAAACAATAAATTGTGAAAAAGGGAGGCAAACAAAATCAAATAAATCTTTCATACGTATACTTTCCCTCCACTTTGACCTCTCCAAATTCATAC